GCTCGGCCTCCCGAGCCGCGGGAGGTCGGGCCCGCGCCTCGCTGGCCCGCGTCTCCAGGTCGGCCGGGAGCGGGCTACGCGGCGCCTTTAAGGCCGCGCTGCGGGCCGGCGCGGGATGCGGCCGTGACGTCAGCGCCCCGCCCGCGGAGGAGCTGCGGCAGCGCCCCGCGCACCGAGCCCGCCGGGATGCGCCCCGCCTGGACCCGCAGGTACCCGCCGCCGCCGCCGCCGCCCGCCGCCGCCGCCGCCCGCCGGCCCAGCCCCGCGCCTGCCGCGGGGCCCCGCGCCGCCTCGCCCGCCTCGTGCGGCGCCGATCGCGAGGCCCGGCCCTGCGCCCGCGCCCGGGGCCCCGCGACCCCACGCGGGAGCCGCGCCGCGTCCCGAGCCCCGCAGCCCGGGAGTGCGGGGCCGCGGGGGGTGCGGGGCCGTGGGGAACGCGCGCTCCCCCCCCCCCCCCGCCGCGCTCCTCCCCGCGGCTCCTCCCCGCACAGCCGCACAGCCAGCGAGGCCGCACCGCCCGCGGCTCGGGCGTCCCGGTGACCCAGGGCCGCCACCCAGAAAGCGGGGCGGAGCTGCGGCCTCCCCGGGCCCTGGCCTCCCCCGGCCCAGCCTCCGGGCCCGGCCTCCCTGGCCCCGGCCTGCCCAGCCTCCCCGGCCCCAGCCTCCGGGCCCGGCCTCCCCAGCCTCCCCAGGCCCACGGCCTCCCCGGGCTCACGGCCTCCTCGGGCCCACGGCCTCCCCGGGCTCACGGCCTCCCCGGGCCCACGGCCTCCCCGGGCTCACGGCCTCCTCGGGCCCACGGCCTCCTCGGGCCCACGGCCTCCCCGGGCCCACGGCCTCCTCGGGCCCACGGTCTCCAGGCGCCTCGGGCGCGGAGAGGGGAAGGGCCGGGGTCTCGGGACCCTGGAGGAGAGGCGACCGCACACCGCGGCAGAAGCGGGCTATTGGAGTGACACGGATGTCGGTCGTTGTTTTCATCCTCTTATTCTGCAAGCGTGAGAGGGCGATGCTGAACGTTCTGGAAGCATGGCAGGGCTGTGGGGGATTTGGGGTTCAGGGACACGTACACGATCGCTTTTGATGGCAACTAATCGTAGGTGCTAACGATGGACCAATGGGTATCTGCATTGTTCACGTTCTGTCATTCTTGGGGTGTGTGCGTGTGCGCGCATGCGTGTGTGCGCGCGCACGCACACACGTGCCAGTCCTGGGGCTTGAACTCAGGGTCTCACACTCTTCTTGGGCTTTTTTGCTCAAGGCTGGCGCTGTCGCGTGGGGCACACCTCCTCTTCCGGCTTTTTGCCGGTGACTCGAGGTGAGCCCCTCAGGTGTGCTGCCTGGTTGGCTTTGAACTGGCGCCCGCAGCGCTCAGCCTTCCTGTAACCACAACCACGGGGGTGAGCCCCCAGTGCCCACGCTCATCTTGCTTATTTTATTTTCATTCATTTTTCTGAAGATGAACTTCCAAAAAGTCTTCAGACTTTCTAGAACAGCTCCTGACAAACGCATTCCATCTTTAATTTTTATTTTTTTATTTTTTTTTATTTTTTATTTTTTTTGGTCGTCGTGGGGCTTGAACTCTGGGCCTGGGCGCTGTCCCTCAGCTCTTCAGCTCCAGGCGAGCGCTCTACCACTTGAGCCACAGCACCACTTCTGGTTTTCTGGTGGTTCCTTGGAGATAAGAGTCTCACGGAGTTTCCTGGCCAGGTGGCTTTGAACTGCGATCCTCAGATCTCGGCCTCCTGAGTTGCTGGGATGACGGCGTGAGCCGGCGCTCGGTGGCATTTCTGCTTTCCAAAGCCATACGCATACCCTAGGCCGCAATGCAGGTTTTCTTTCTTTTTCTGAACGGGGCCCACAGTTCATTCCACAAGCTGAGGGGCGCTCAGATGTACTTAGTGGGGTGGGCACTGCTGGGGGGGGGGCAGGCGGCCTGAAGTGGGGACCACCTGGAGCGAGAAGAAGGCAGCCCGGAGGGCTCCGAGCCCGAGCTCCCAGCACGCCTGTGTGCAGGTGCCCCGTCCTGAAGGAGGCGCCGCTGTGGGGGGAGGGGAGGGGTGCTTGCGTGGGGACGGGCGCTCTGTTACCCTCTGGTAAGGGAGTGCTGACCACTGCGAACCAAGGAGGTTTTGGAAGAGAGGCTGGTTGACAGGTTTTACTCTGCAGAGGCCCCGGGGCTGGACCTAAACAAGCCTCACAGTTTGGGAGAGCTCCCTCTCAGTCAGCCCGCAGGAGGCAGCGCATCTGCTTGGTTGATGAGAGGAGAGGGTGGCACTTTTCTAAGATCACTAGCTATTTACAGAGTGACAGTAGAGGGGCTGTGTCTGCGCCATTCCCTGTCACCTAGGGACGATGCGTCTCTTAGCAAAGCTTAAAGGTCCACCGACGCCTCCCTGCCGGCCTTCTCCCCCACCCTCAGCTCAAAGCTGGGGTGTCTCTTTCTCATGGTCACTCCCCCTGGTTAGAATACCTCTCCTCTCTCTCACCTAGCTCAGAGGCATGAACTATGTCCTCATCTTATCTTTATGACCTTAGTTTCTTGGTCCTGAGAAGTAGCCAAATAGGAGGGCTGTGTAGGTAGATGGGTTGATAAATATTTGGAAGGGAAGATAAGTGGATGGTGAATGCATGGATGGAGGGATGAATACTGGGTGGACAGGAGTGCTGGGTAGAGTCTTGGTGAATGGATGGATGAGCAGGTGGATGGTAGATGAATGGGTGGGTGACAGATAAATGTATGGATGGGAAGATGTACGTATATGATGGATGGATGGTGGGTAGATGGATGGGCAGATGGCTGGTAAATGGATGAATAATGGATGGATGGTGGATTGGCAGATGGATGAATGTATAGATAGATGGATATATGTGGGTGGGGGATGGTTGGTGGAGGGATGGATGGATGGTGGGTGGGTGGATAAATGGGTAGGCGAGTGGATAGATGGGTAGTTGGGTAGATGAGTGGATGGATGGGTAGATGAATGAAAGGATGGATGTTAGATGAGTGGATAGAGGGATGGATGGATGGGTAATGGGTAGATGAGGGGATGGGTGGGTAGATGGATGCTAGGTGATAGATGGGTGGAGGGATAGATGGGTAGATGGATAGATGAGTGGATAGACGGATAGGTAATGGGTAGATGAGTGGATGGTACATGAAGAGATGAATGCTAGGTGAATAGATGGGTGAATGGATGGATGGGTAGATGAATAGATGGGTGAATGGATGGATGGGTAGATGAATAGATGGGTGAATGGATGGATGGGTAGATGAATAGATGGGTGAATGGATGGATGGGTAGATGAATAGATGGGTAGATGAGTGGATGAATGGATGGATAATGGGTAGATGAGTGGATGGATGGATAATGGGTAGGTAAGTGGATGGATGGGTAGATTTAAAAAATTAGCAAGTACCCACAATGTGTTAGATAGTTGTGTAGAAGTTCATATCAAACATAAGGGTTTAAAAACTGAAGTTGGAAACTAATGTTGAAAGAAAGCCTGTGCTGTCCATGCTGGGTGTGATCAGTGTCCTTGTCAGGAAGTGGGTCAAAGGGCTGGGAAGGTGGCTCAGTGGTAGAGCGCTTGCCTTGCATGCATGAGGCCCTGGGTTCGATTCCTCAGCATCACATAAGCAAAAAGAAAAAAGCCAGAAGTGGCGCTGTGGCTCAAGTGGTAGAGCGCTAGCCTTAAGCCGAAGAGCTGAGGGACAGCGCCCAGGCCCAGAGTTCAGGCCCCACAACCAGACCCAAAAAAAAATTAAAAAAAAGAAAGAAAACAGGAAGTGGGTGAAGGCTGGGAAAGTCGGGGGGCCGCTTCTCTGAGGAAGGACATCAAAGGAGTTTTAGTCCCTGACTTGGCCTGTGAGGTGGAACTGACTATGTTCAGAGAAGCTGACATCATTCTAGAACTTTCTTACTGCTGTGCTTCATGGGGGGGGGGGAAGAAGAGAGGAGGGAGGACAGAAAGAGGGACAGAGAGAGAGAGACAGAGAGATTCTGGGGCTCAAATTCAGGGCTTTATGCTTTTGTTGAGCTTTCTCTCTCAAAGCTAGTTAGTGCTTTAACCACTTGAGCCGGAGCTCCGCTGCTGGCTTTTTAGGAATCCATTGGAGATGAGTCTCACGGATTTTCCTGCCCGGGCTGGCTTTGAACCGTGATCCTGAGTCGCTGGGATTCCGGGCGTGCAGCCCCAGTGCTATTTCTTTAGAGGGAACCTGTCCGATGTGGGTGCTGCTGCCGGGCGGCTCTGAGGCCGGCGTCCGCTCCTCCGGATCTGGTGGAGGCAGGGAAAAAAATCCCCAGGGAGCCAAGGGGGTGGCTGTGACCCCGGGAGGAGCACTCAGGGTCCCCCCACCTCTGGTCTTTTGGGAGTCAGGGAAAAGTAAAACGAGGCCTGGACATGGAGCCCGGGGCCTCCCACAGCCTGGCGGGACCGGCCTGGCCTTGGGGAGCAGCCTTGGACCCGCTCACAGGGTGGACGGGCTGTGCTGGGGTGTGTGTGGGGGGAGAGTGGCCTCGACCACCCCGGGCGGGCGCAACGCCACACTCCCGAGTGCCAGGTGGGCGCTGGCGTCCTGACCAGGCCCCCGGGCCGCTTCCCCGCAGGGACTCCCAGACGCGCCGCCCACGATGACCGCGCCGGCGGCCAGCGGCAGCCCCGCGGGCGACGCGCTCTGCCCGGGCCTGGCCCCGCAGGACTCATGCAGGACGCACGTCTCCAGCTACGCGGGGTCCCTGACACGTCACATCAGCCACCGGGCCAACAACTTCAAGCGACACCCCAAGAGGAGGAAGTGCATTCGACCCTCCCCGCCCCCGCCCCCCAACACCCCCTGCCCCCTCGAGCTGGTGGACTTCGGGGACCTGCACCCCCAGAGGTCCTTCCGGGAGCTGCTGTTCAATGGTTGCATCCTGTTTGGCATTGAGTTCAGCTACGCCATGGAGACGGCTTATGTGACCCCCGTGCTCCTGCAGATGGGCCTGCCCGACCAGCTCTACAGCCTGGTGTGGTTCATCAGCCCCATCCTCGGTGAGCCCAGCCTGCCCTGGTGACCATGCACCTGGAAAATTCTGGAAGCTTCTAGAAGCCTCAATTGAAGCCACTTGAGGGTCTCCCAAGGGACCAGGGAGGAGCAAGAGTTAAGTCCCCTCTAACTGGGCTATACAGATAGGAATATACAGATAGGCTGGTTGTACCCATTGTATTGTTTTTGTTTGTGCCTGTCCTGGGATTTGAGCTCAGGGTCTGGGCAGTGTTGCTGAGCTTTTTCCGCTCAAGGCGAGCACTCTACCACTGGAGGCACAGCTCCACTTTGTTTTTTTGTGGTTAATTAGGAGATCAGAGTCTCATGGACTTTCGTGACCAGGCTGGCTTCAAACTGAGATCCTCGATCTCAGCCTCCTGAGTAGCTAGGGTGACAGGTGAGAGCCACCAGCACCCAGCTCATACCCACGTTTTAAGTTTGTTTAAGCCAAGCAATAGGAAGGAAGTTAGCCAGCAAGGAATCCGCCATCTTAACTTTGTGGATTCCCGGTGTGGCTTCTTAGTGGCCTTGTAGGATCCAAAGTGGATGATTCCAGGTGATTCCAGAAGTGTGGTTCTCTGCCTTCTGTGTCCTGGTCTTTTGGCGTGCTGGGCAGTGGGAGGGCAGGTCCCTGGCCAGCGTGGCAGGGCTGTCTCGGTGTTCTGGGCACCCCAGCTCTGACCCAGGCCTGCTCTGTTTCAGGATTTCTGCTGCAGCCTCTGTTGGGTGCTTGGAGTGACAGATGTACCTCAAGGTTTGGAAGGAGGCGCCCTTTCATTCTTGTCCTGGCCATAGGTCTGTTGTTTTAGCATGGAAATAAAACAGAAAAAAAAAAAAAAAAGCCCCAATTGCTTCCTTTTAGGAAAAGCTAAAAAGCCTGAGGAAAGCCATCTCCCGCGACCCCGGGGCCCCGCTCCCCAGGCGTCTCCAGGCCCTGTCCCCTAACCCAGCTCTGAGAAGGAACCACTGGGATTGTTGTGGTTGTTAATGCATGTGGTCCTGAGGACTTCTCTGATCATTTTTAATGAGTTAGTGAAGTTCAGCTCAGTCCTGCTCTGCTCCCTTGGGGAAAAGCTGACCGAGTATGAACACTATGGTAGCTGCAGGTGAGCTCTCCCGGCTCTGCTTCAAGGGTCCTCGATTCTCCACCAGGTGGCGAGCCGTGGGGCAGAGCTGGCCCGTGTCCTCCGAGTGACTCGGTCTCTCTGCTTCCAGGGGCGTTGCTGGGCCTGTCCCTCCTGCTGAACGGCAGGGACATCGGTCTGGCCCTGGCCGACACGGCCACCAACCACAAGTGGGGCATCCTCCTGACTGTGTGCGGGGTGGTGCTGATGGACTTCAGCGCCGACTCGGCCGATAACCCCAGCCACGCGTACATGATGGATGTGTGCGGACCCGTGGACCAGGACAGAGGCCTGAACATCCATGCTCTCCTGGCGGGTGAGTCAGCCCCTTTCTCTGGGCCAGGCGGGGCGGGGCCTCCAATCAGGGCAGGCTGGGGGCGGAGCCTCCATCAGGGCCAGGCTGGGGGCGGAGCCTCCATCAGGGCAGGCTGGGGTGGGGCCTCCTATCAGGGCAGGCTGGGGGCGGAGCCTCCGTCAGGGCCAGGCTGGGGGTGGAGCCTACTCAGGGCCAGGCTGGGGGCGGGGCCTCCTCAGGGCCAGGCTGGGGGCGGGGCCTCCAATCAGGGCAGGCTGGGGGTGAAGCCTCCATCAGGGCCAGGCTGGGGTGGGGCCTCCATCAGGGCAGGCTGGGGGCGGAGCCTCCATCAGGGCCAGGCTGGGGTGGGGCCTCCATCAGGGCCAGCCTGGGGGGGTAGTGTCTCATCAGGGCCAGCCTGGGGGGGGTAGTGTCTCATCAGGGCCAGCCTGGGGGGTGGAGCCTCCATCAGGGCCAGGCTGGGGGGGGTAGTGTCTCATCAGAGCCAGGCTGGGGGGGTGGAGCCTCCATCAGGGCCAGGCTGGGGGCGGAGCCTCCAATCAGGGCCAGGCTGGGGGCGGAGCCTCCATCAGGGCCAGGCTGGGGTGGAGCCTCCATCAGGGCCAGGCTGGGGTGGGGCCTCCATCAGGGCCAGGCTGGGGTGGGGCCTCCATCAGGGCCAGGCTGGGGTGGGGCCTCCAATCAGGGCAGGCTGGGGGTGGAGCCTCCATCAGGGCCAGGTTGGGGACAGAGTCTCCATCAGGGCCAGGCTGGGGTGGGGCCTCCATCAGGGCCAGGCTGGGGGCGGAGCCTCCATCAGGGCCAGGCTGGGGTGGAGCCTCCATCAGGGCCAGGCTGGGGTGGGGCCTCCAATCAGGGCAGGCTGGGGGTGGAGCCTCCATCAGGGCCAGGCTGGGGTGGGGCCTCCAATCAGGGCAGGCTGGGGTGGAGCCTCCATCAGGGCCAGGCTGGGGTGGGGCCTCCAATCAGGGCAGGCTGGGGGTGGAGCCTCCATCAGGGCCAGGCTGGGGTGGGGCCTCCATCAGGGCCAGGCTGGGGTGGAGCCTCCATCAGGGCCAGGCTGGGGGTGGAGCCTCCATCAGGGCCAGGCTGGGGGGGTAGTGTCTCATCAGAGCCAGGCTGGGGGGGGTGGGGCCTCCATCAGGGCCAGGCTGGGGGGGTGGGGCCTCCATCAGGGCCAGGCTGGGGGGGTGGGGCCTCCATCAGGGCCAGGCTGGGGGGGCGGGCCTCCATCAGGGCCAGGCTGGGGGCGGGCCTCCATCAGGGCCAGGCTGGGGGCGGGCCTCCATCAGGGCCAGGTTGGGGGGGTAGTGTCTCATCAGAGCCAGGCTGGGGGGGTGGAGCCTCCATCAGGGCCAGGCTGGGGGCGGAGCCTCCATCAGGGCCAGGTTGGGGGTGGGGCCTCCATCAGGGCCAGGCTGGGGGTGGAGCCTCCATCAGGGCCAGGCTGGGGGGGTAGTGTCTCATCAGAGCCAGGCTGGGGGGGTGGGGCCTCCATCAGGGCCAGGCTGGGGGGGTGGGGCCTCCATCAGGGCCAGGCTGGGGGCGGAGCCTCCATCAGGGCCAGGCTGGGGGCGGAGCCTCCATCAGGGCCAGGTTGGGGGCGGAGCCTCCATCAGGGCCAGGCTGGGGGTGGGGCCTCCATCAGGGCCAGGTTGGGGGCGGAGCCTCCATCAGGGCCTGGATGGGGGCGGGGCCTCCACTAGGGCCTGGATGGGGGCGGGGCCTCCTCAGGGCCTGGCTGGGGGCGGGGCCTCCTCAGGGCCTGGCTGGGGGCGGGGCCTCCTCAGGGCCAGGCTCAGGCAGAGGAGCTTGAGGTGGAGGAAATGGCGTTTATTAGAAGTAGATTTGTCTGCTGCAGCTGGGTCACCAGGGCAGCGCTCAGACGTGCATGTTGGCCTGAGGATCCTCTGAGGCAGGTGTCTGGTGCCTGGGGCTGTGGGTAAAGAACTCCACACTGTGACCAAATCCCAAATCCTTGTGTGTCAATGGCCAAGGTCCTGAGAGCTGCAGGGGGAGGAGGGGCAGGGGGAGGAGGGGCAGGGGGAGGAGGGGCAGGGGGAGGAGGGGCAGGGGGAAGAGGGGCAGGGGGAGGAGGGCAGGGGGAGGAGGCACGGGGGGAGGAGGGGCTGGAGGAGGAGGGGCAGGGGGAGAAGGGCAGGGGGAGGAGGGCTGGCGGAGGAGGGGCAGGGGGAGAAGGGCAGGGGGAGGGGGGCAGGGGGAGAGGGGCAGGGGGAAGGGGGCAGGGGGAGGAGGGCTGGCGGAGGAGGGGCAGGGGGAGAAGGGCAGGGGGAGGGCAGGGGGAGGAGGCACGGGGGGAGGAGGGGCAGGGCGAGAAGGGCAGGGGGAGGAGGGGCAGGGGGAGGAGGGGCAGGGGAAGGAGGCACGGGGGGAGGAGGGGCTAGAGGAGGAGGGGCAGGGGGAGAAGGGCAGGGGGAGGAGGGCAGGGGGAGGGGCAGGGGGAGGAGGGCAGGGGGAGGGGCAGGGGGAGAGGGGCAGGGGGAGGAGGGGCAGGGGGAGAAGGGCAGGGGGAGGAGGGCAGGGGGAGGGGCAGGGGGAGGAGGGGCAGGGGGAGAGGGGCAGGGGGAGGAGGGGCAGGGGGAGAAGGGCAGGGGGAGGAGGGCAGGGGGAGGAGGCACGGGGGGAGGAGGGGCAGGGGGAGAAGGGCAGGGGGAGGAGGGCTGGCGGAGGAGGGGCAGGGGGAGAGGGGCAGGGGGAGGGGGGCAGGGGGAGGAGGGCTGGAGGAGGAGGGGCAGGGGGAGAAGGGCAGGGGGAGGAGGGCAGGGGGAGGAGGCACGGGGGGAGGAGGGGCTGGAGGAGGAGGGGCAGGGGGAGAAGGCGCAGGGGGAGGGGGGCAGGGGGAGGAGGGCAGGGGGAGGAGGCACGGGGGGAGGAGGGGCTGGAGGAGGAGGGGCTGGAGGAGGAGGGACAGGGGGAGGAGGCGCAGGGGGAGGGGGGCAGGGGGAGGAGGGCAGGGGGAGGAGGCACGGGGGGAGGAGGGCAGGGGGAGGAGGCACGGGGGGACCAGGGGCAGGGGGACCAGGGGCAGGGGGACGAGGGGCAGGGTGGCGCAGGCCCAGTTGGCGGCCAGGGAGGAGAGCAGCAGGGGACGGCAGGACGCACACGCGTGTTTGCGCTTGGCTTTTTCATTCAAGACTAGTGCTCTGAAACACAACACCATTTCTGACTTTGCACTCTATAGAGATGGAGTCTCAGAATTGTCTGCCCAGGCTGGCTTTGAACCCCTGTCTTCAGATCTCAGCCTCCTGAGTAGCTAGGTAGCTGGGATTACGGGTGGGAGCCACCATGCTCAGCTCGGAGATGAGCTCCTGACACATTCACGCCCCGTGAGCCAGAGGGGACTGGAAAGGCCTGGAAGGAAAGGTGTGGCTGGTGTGGACTATGCGTGCTCTGCAGGTGGGCGGCCGGCCTTGCCTCCCCGGCCTCTGACCGCAGCTCACCCAGGAAGGGCCTGGGCAGGTGAAGGCCGCTGGGGCCCCTTGTTGTTATGCCGGGGTCCAGGGGAGACAGATGCGACCTGCGGTCCCGCCTGCCCGTGGGGGGGGGGGGGGGGGCTGAGGCCGGTCCCGCCTGCCCGTGGGGCGGGGGCTGAGGCCGGTCCCGCCTGCCCGTGGGGCGGGGGCTGAGGCCGGTCCCGCCTGCCCGTGGGGGGGGGGCTGAGGCCGGTCCCGCCTGCCCGTGGGGCGGGGGCTGAGGCCGGTCCCGCCTGCCCGTGGGGCGGGGGCTGAGGCCGGTCCTCTCTCCCAGGCCTCGGCGGCGGGTTCGGCTATGTGGTCGGGGGAATCCACTGGGACCGAACCGGCTTCGGCAGAGCGCTGGGCGGCCAGCTCCGCGTCGTCTACATCTTCACCGCCGTCACCCTGAGCGTCACCACGGTGCTGACGCTGGCCAGCATCCCCGAGCGGCCTCTGCAGCCCCTGGGGGAGAAGAGGACGGCCATGAAGAGCCCCAGCCTCCCCCTGCCGCCATCGCCGCCCGTGGCCGTGGACGCCGGGGCCGGCGACGCGCTGCCCACGCCCGCGGCCGGCGTGTACGCCAGCTTCTCCAGCCCCATCTCGCCGCCCAGCCCCCTGACGCCCAAGTACGGCAGCTTCCTGAGCCGGGACAGCTCCCTGAGCGGCCTCAACGAGTTCGCGTCCTCCTTTGGCACGTCCCACATCGACAGCGTGCTCATCGACTGCTTCACCGCGGGCCACGACGGCTACCTGGCCCTCCCCAGCAGCCTGCCCAGGCAGGCCGTCAGCGCCAGCTTCCCCCGCGCCCCCGACGGCTGGGGACGGCCGGACCGCAGGGACGGGGGCCTGGCGTCGGGCGCCGACGGGGACGTGCTGAGGGTGGGTTCCTTGGACGCTTCCAAGCCACGGGCGTCTGGGATCCTGAAGAGACCCCAGACCCTGGCTCTCCCGGACGCGGCTGGGGGCGGCGGCCCCGAAAACAGCCGGAGGAGAACCGTGACCTTCAGCCAGCAGGTACAGGGCCGGCGGGGCCCCAGGTCCCGGGCGGGGTGGGCTGGGGGCGCCGCCATGCCGGCCTCAGTCCTCTCGCTCGCGTGCTGGAGCTGTGGCACCCAGGCTGCCGGCTGGAGACAGCTCTCGTAGACAGTAGCCCCGGCCAGGCCCTCTCCCTGGCTTCTGGCACTTTCCCCGCCACCGCCAGCCCACAGCCCTTTTGGGCCGCCACGTCTGAGTCTTGAAAGCCGGCGAGGCCGCCAGCCTGCAGGCCTCGGGCTGCCTCTGGCCCCGGCGTCTGACTAGTGAAGGCTGAGGCCATCGCCCCTGTCAGGGCGTAGGCTGCGGAGAGGGCCGTAGGTCACGCTGGGCGGACGCAAGGCCACCGGCTGCTCCGTGACATCTACGGATCTCGAGGTCGGTGAGGCGGCGGTCCGGCCCCTCTGCCCCTGGGGCGCCGTGGGGGTGAGTCAGGACCTCGGGGTTCGCGACCATGGTCCCCTGAAGCCATCGGGGCTGCCCGGGTCCTCCCTGGCCTCGGAGAGGGGCCGGAAGGGCTGGGGGAGCGGCGGCCTCTGCACCCCTCCGGAAGGGGGTTGAACCCCTTATTGTCAAAGACAAGAGGTTCCTCCCCACCCCCTGCTCAGGGGCCGGCCACCGGCCCGCGTTTCTCGGGCGCCACTTCCGGTTCCTGGGAGATCAGAGTCTCGCGGACTTTCGGCCCGGGCTGGCCTCGAACCGCGACCCTCAGATCTCAGCCGCCCGAGTATCGAGGGTGACAGGCGGGAGCCACTAGACAGGGCTTCCCACGTCCCCCGGGGCGGGTGAGACCGCCGTCCTCGGAGGAAAGAAACAGCTCGAGCTAATCCGAGCACGTGCGGGCTCAGCGGGGCGGCGCGGGGCGGGGTGCGCCCAGCGCCCCTGCGCCTTTGCCTGCAGGGATACCCTGGTGCCCGCCGGGCCCACGCCTCCCCTCCCCAGCCGCGCAGCCCCCCAGCTGAACGGCTGCACCCCGAAGGACTGGGGCGCTTGGCTGGAGTCCCCCAAGCGGTGGGGGAGCCTTTGCATCGCTGTGCGCACCTGTGTGTCTCGCCCAGCCTGAGGGGCCGGAGCGGGGTGGGGAGCAGGCTGGGGGGCGGGCGGGGCCGTGGGGGGCGGCCTGGGGGGCTGGGCCGGGCGGGGCCGTGGGGAGCGGGCTGGGGGCGGGGCCGTGGGGGCGGGGCCAGGCGGGCCGTGGGGAGCGGGCTGGGGGCGGGGCCGTGGGGGCGGGGCCAGGCGGGGCCGTGGGGAGCTGGCTGGAGGCGGAGCCAGGCGGGGCCGTGGGGGCGGGGCCAGGCGGGGCCGTGGGGAGCGGGCTGGAGGCGGAGCCGTGGGGGCGGGGCCAGGCGGGCCGTGGGGAGGAGGCTGGGGGCGGGGCCAGGCGGGGCCGTGGGGAGCCGGCTGGAGGCGGAGCCGTGGGGGCGGGGCCAGGCGGTTCGTGGGGAGCGGGCTGGGGTGTGGGGGGCCGTGGGGAGCGGGCTGGGGGCGGGGCCAGGCGGTTCGTGGGGAGCGGGCTGGGGTGTGGGGGACCGTGGGGAGCGGCCTGGGGCGCGGGGCCCGGCCGGGCCGTGGCTCAGGGCTGACGTCCCGCTGCCCGCACAGGTGGCCAACATCTTACTGAACGGCGTGAAGTACGAGAGCGAGCTGACGGGCGCGGGCGAGCCGGCCGACCAGCCGCTGTCCCTGCGCCGCCTCTGCGCCACCATCTGCCACATGCCGGCCGCGCTGCGCAGCCTGTGCCTCAACCACTTCCTGGGTGAGCGCGGGGCCTCCACCCTGGGCCTCGCCCCCCGGGCCTCGCCTCTCTGGCTGACTCCCTGGGCCTCGTCTCCCAGGCCTCACTTTCCAGACCTCGCTCCCTGAGCCTCCCCCCGCCCCCTGCCTCCCGGGCCTCACTTCCGGGCTCCTCCAGCACTGAGGGCGGCCCGGGCCCTGGGCTGCGGGCGAGTGGACGCCCGCCCACCCACGGGTCGGCTCTCCACCTGCTCCCAAGCGGCCCTGCACCTAGGGCTTCGCAGACCCAAACCCCCAAGACTCCTGGCGGTTAAGCAGGGGACCCCATGTTCCACAGCGCTTCCTCACCCCTCACCACGGAGCTCTCCACGGATGCCCTTGAAGCTCCTGAACTCGCTGGGGTGACAGCCCCAGCCGCCTGGTCTTTGTGCTAGGTAAAGGCTCTGAGGCCTCCTCCTCCTCCCTCCCTCCCTCCCTCCCTCCAGGGTGGCTGTCGTTCGAGGGCATGCTGCTCTTCTACACGGACTTCATGGGCGAGGTGGTGTTCCAGGGGGACCCGAAGGCGCCCCACGCGTCCGAGGCGTACCAGAAGTACAACCGCGGCGTGACGGTGGGCTGCTGGGGCCTGTGCATCTACGCCTTCAGCGCCGCCTTCTACTCAGGTACAGCCCGGCGCCGCGCGCCTGGGGCCGCGGAGGGCGGTGGAGGCTCATGAAGAATCTGCCGGTCAGCCCAGCTACCCAAGAGGCAGAGAGAGGAAGACACAGGTTGAGGCCAGCCCGGGCGGCGTTAGCGAAGCTCATCTCCGCTGTAAGGCGAGATGGCACCTGCCTAGGATCCCAGCCGTTAGGGAGGCAGAGACTGGACAACCGGGCAGAAAAGGAGTAAGATCTCATCTCAGTGGGATGTGGTGGTCCACACCTGTAGGCAGCACTACACACGCAGGGTAGGGAGGAAGATGGAGGTCTGAGGCTAGCCCAGAATAAAGTGTGAGATCCTATGCAGAAAATAATACCCGTAGAGGGCGGATGGTGGGGCGTGTGCTGGGCCCCGAGCTCACACCGCAGTACCTGTCGCAGGGAGAGGAGGTGAGGAAGAGCATGTGGCTGCTGGCTCACTGGGGGCTCTGTGATCGTCAACCTCAGCCCCTACCCCTGAACCCCCAAATCTTCTGGGTGACTAAGAGCAGCGGGTCCTGTCTTCCATCCTGTGTATTCCTGGGGCAGAAATACCTTCTAGTCAGGGGTGAGCCCGTGAGCCCGCAGCCGCGCTCACCCCGCCCGTCCACAGCCATCCTGGAGAAGCTGGAGGAGCGGCTGAGCATCCGCACCCTCTACTTCATCGCCTACCTCGCCTTTGGCCTGGGCACTGGGCTGGCCACACTCTCCCGGAACCTCTACGTGGTCCTGTCCCTCTGTGTCACCTACGGCGTCCTCTTCTCCACGCTCTGCACCCTGCCCTACTCGCTGCTCTGCGACTACTACCAGAGCAAGAAGGTGAGCACTTGCGGTGGCATGCGCCGGGGACTTCCCCAAGGCCCCGCCCCAGCATGGGGAAGATGCAGTGAGTCCTCCCGAGTGTCCGGCCCCACTCCTGCACCTGCCGTGTCCTCCCGCCAGCCGCCTCCATGCAAGGTGGGAGGCCTGCCCTTCCCCCTTCCCCAGCCCACTTCCAGGTTCCGTGTTAGTAGCAGAGTCTCAGGGCCAGGCTTGGAGGATGGGAGGTGAGGCACGAAAACCCAGTGATCAGCGTCGATGGTGTGGTAAAGCAGAACAGCCAGAATGGGCCAGGCGCTGTGGCTCACACCTGTCATCCTGGCTGCTCAGGAGGCTGAGAGCTAAGGTCCCTGGTTCAAAGCCAGCCTGGACAGGAAAATCCTCAGGACTCCTAGCTCCAGTGTATCACATAAAAACTGGAAGTGGAGCTGTGGCTTAAGTGGTAGAGCTCTAGCTTGGAGAAGAATGAAAACAAAAAGCTCAGGGACAGCACCCAGGCCCCACGTTCAAGCCCCCAGACTGGCACAAACCTCAAGCCAGAATGGATGTCCCACGTGCACCTACATAAGACAGCACCATTTTAAACAGGCTGGCGGGGCAGGGCTGGGCGCTGGGCCTGGCCACATGGGCGTCTGAAGCAGAAGGGGAACGTTGGTGGAAGCTGTCCCTGTCAGGCAGACAGAGGTCTGAGGACCACGCCTCGTGGGTGGCACTGTCCCCACAGCAAGAGTTGCCTGGACAGCGGTGCCACACCCTGCAGGCTGGCCCGTGCTGCCCCCTGCCACATTGCTGCTCCTCTGTGCAGCGGGTGGGGAGGAGCCGAGGAGCCCCTCCCCCCCCCCCCCCCAGCGGGGCTGTGGGTCTCGGGATCCCAGCCTTGGCTGCTCTGGGAGGGCCCAGGGGAGTGCTGCGGTGCATCCTGGGCTGACTGGTGGAGTGCGGGGAGTGGAGGCCGAGCCTCGGCCCCACAGCTGTCCCCAGGGAGCAGTGGAGGGCGGGAGGGGGCAGGCCTCCCAGCTGGGCTGTGGCCTGGCACTGACGCCCCATCTCTCAGTTCGCAGGGTCTGGGGCGGACGGCGGCCGCAGGGGCATGGGCGTGGACATCTCCTTGCTCAGCTGCCAGTACTTCCTGGCCCAGATCCTCGTCTCCCTGGTCCTGGGGCCCCTGACCTCGGCCGTGGGCAGCGCCACAGGGGTGATGTACTTCTCCAGCCTTGTGTCCTTCCTGGGCTGCCTCTATTCGTCCCTGTTTGTCACTTACGAGCTCCCTGCCGGCGACACGGGGGACCAGGAGTACCAGCCTCTCCTGCTCAACGTCTGATCGCCCCCCCCCCCCAGCCCGGACTCTGGACTTGTGCAGGGCCAACGGCAGCCACCCCCCCCCCCCAGGAACCCCAGGCTTTGGGGGGGGGGAGCTTCCGGTGAGATGTAAATATGAGGTAAAATAAACAGACAGCAGCAAGCCTGCAGTTTCAGCCGCCCTCTGGTGTGAGGTCGCCAGGGACTGAGCTGCTGCCAGGGGACTTGAGCAGTGGGAGGATACAGGTTACTGGTGGAAAGTGAAGGTGTGGGCCAGGCATGGTGGCTCTCTCCTGTAATCAGAAACGGAAGCAAAAAGGGCTGGGGGTGTGGTTCAGGTGCCTGCCTGGCACGGGTGAGGCGAAGGAGAAACAAAAAGGAAGGCTATCTTGGTGTAGTTCTCAATCCGGGGTGACTGTGCCACCCCCCCCTCGGACTGTGGCAGGGTCTGGACATGGGTTCCGTTGTCACCTCTCAGGTGGCCGCCGCTGCTGCCATGGGGGGGGGGTGTACACGTCCCACGTTCAAACCGGCTCTAGTGACAAAGAATTCCCGAGTCCTAGGTGCTAACCGAGCTGAGGGACGCAGGTTCCGCATGCCGCACTGTGGCATTCATTCACCCCTTCACCCCTGTGCCCCCTGCTGTGGTGTGGATCTGCAGTGTCTCCCGGAGGCCCACGTGGGACCACGTAGTCCCCAGCCCACAGCAGTCAGGACGTGAGGGGGCTCCAAGAGGAGGGGCTGGGGGGGAGTAGGGTCACGGGGCACACCCCGGAAAGGGATCTTAGCCCCTCAGCCCTTCCTCTTTGCGCTTCCTGGCAGCGGGTAGCTTCTTCCTCACCCACTCTGGCCATGCTGCCCGGCACTGCCTGAGGTCCCCGCAGCCCCTGGCCACAGGCTGAGCCTCAGGCATTTCATTACCCACCAGTGCACGTACCCCATGAACACCCAGCCGGTGCCCTGGCTCCGGGAAGCAGTGGCGGACGTTGGGAACCGGCTGCAAGTGACAAGGTGTCCGTCCACAGGTAAGGGCTGTGCACGAGCCCTGAGTGAGACTCCTGGAGCAGTGCTCTGAGGGAGGGACCCCAGGCCCGGAGATGCCCGGAGAAGTAGGAATGAGGGGGACCTCCTGCTCAACACCATCTGCCCCCCAACTTGAAGGCAGGATGCCTGCTGGGACCCAGAGCACACAGGCTGCGCTCGCTAGGGGGAGGCAGAGAGGCAGAAAAGCCCTGGCCTCCTCCGTCACGTGCCTCGGCCTCTTCTCTTGGCCTTGGGCTTCCCCCTCCACCATCACTGTCCCACGGCCACCCGCTGCCCTGCTGGACCAAAGTTCCATCTCCCTGCAGCCGGAAGAGCTGTAGACTAAGGCCTAGGCCCCGCCCCATCCCAGGACACCTGGCCAACCGACACGCTGCACCCACTCCTCACGACCACCTGAGCCCACACCGCAGCCCACGGCCCTGACCCCGCTCGGCTTCCCACTTGGGACGGTGGTCCTTGCTCTGCCTTCAGCTGCCATCCTACCCTGTATGCGTGGCACCGTGGGAGGCGGCCCCCACACCCCGAGAGAAGCACAGGGAGTCCCTGACCGGCCTGTGACAAGCCTCGGGCTGGAGTCTCCTTGGAGCGGCCTCCTGTCGTTTCCTCATTTCCCTGGATCTGTGGACACGTCTCCCACGCACACGTTGCTTGGGGAGGTGGCTTAGGTTTCTGAGAATGTGTGTGGCTGCCTCCACTCTTTTGCTGAGAATGGGGAGAGGCCTGGGGTGGCCCCATCACGGTGGCCTCTAATCCTGGGCCGCCTCCCTCCAGCTTTCAAAGCAGAGAGGATGGTTTCCATGAGGGCGTGCACGCCCCAGGCCTGTGCTCTGAAGTCTGCCCAGGGACGCTGGGCAGGGCAGCGTGGAGGGCGGTCTTCCTCCTCCAGAGCTGTGGGGGCCGCCGCCGCCAGTCCACGAGCTGCACCCCACCTCTCAACTCCTTGCTGACCTGAGCGGGGATGGAGATGCAGCCGCTGAGGGCAGTGCCCCAAACCTGCCACCGCGTCAGGAGGGACGCGCCGACCCCATTCACACAGCACGCGCGGGCCATGCACGGCTGCAGCAAGCGCGGGGCCGGGACAGGGGCAGAGGGCCCCAGCCCTCCCACCATCCCACTCGGGCCACTAGACACGAAACTAAAGCTGCACAGCTGGAATCAGAGCTGCTCCCGACTGTCCCCCCGAGAACACACAATGACCCCCGTTCTCCTGCTACTCACTGGGGACACGGGATCCCCGGGGACGGCAGGGGCAGGGATAGCCCCTGGGCTGTGGTCTTTGTATTTTTTCAGTACTAGTCGTGGGGCTTGAGCTCAGGGCCTGGCCATTCTTGCTTGAGCCACCTGAGCATCGGCTCCACTTCCAGAGTTTTGGTAGTAAATTGGAGGTGAGTCTCGAAGACTTTCCTGCTTGGGTTTGGCTTCGAATTGTGAGCCTCAGATCACAGCCTTCACACGCTCCAGGTAGGGAGGGTTGTGGTGCGAATCCCAATTTTTACCTAGGCTTTGAGGTGTGGCAGAAAGCAAAAGACACCACCTGTGCCCACAGCCTTTGCTTCTCCCTCATCAGTGTCGGGGCCCTGTCCCCCTCCCCCCTGCCACCCAGCACGGCCCAGCCCCCCCGCCCTGCCACCACAGCCCTGCTGTCCCCCTCCCCCCTGCCACCCAGCACGGCACAGCCCCCCCGCCCTGCCACCACAGCCCTGCTGTCCCCCTCCCCCCTGCCACCCAGCACGGCCCAGCCCCCCCCGCCCTGCCACCACAGCCCCGCTCTGTCCCCCTCCCCCCTGCCACCCAGCACGGCCCAGCCCCCCCGCCCTGCCACCACAGCCCTGCTGTCCCCCTCCCCTCTGCCACCCAGCACGGCCCAGCCCCCCCGCCCTGCCACCACAGCCCTGCTGTCCCCCTCCCCCCTGCCACCCAGCACGGCACAGCCCCCCCGCCCTGCCACCACAGCCCCGCTCTGTGGTGACCTTTTCCAGCTGCTGCTTTGCCTAGGCGCCCCCCCCCCGCCCCCATTCTCACAGCTCCTGGGAGGACAGGCACCTGGGCTGTGACCACTGCCATCTGGTGGCCAGGACCAGGAACAGAGTGACGGGGAGTGCCGGCAGATGCATACGGATGATCACAGCCTCCCGCAGCCTGAGCAGGAACTGCCCTGAAGTCCTGCTTCAAATGTAATCATCACTCGGGACATCCGTCCCAAGGATGGAATCCACCAGGTCTGAACCCCCGAGGATAGGCATGGTTGTCAGGGGCAGCAAGAGTAGGAAAAACTGGGGAGGGAGGTCAGCAGTGAGTGCCTGGCTCCCCAGGAGGAGCTGTCAACCTCAACCAGGTAAAAGGTTCTGTCTGGCTATTCATGCCTTTGATGTGAGCGCACCGCTGCAGGGCCCATCCACCATCCATCCGCCCGTCCATCCTCCAGCCATCCACCCACCTGTCCATCACTCATCTACCTGTCCATCATCCATCCCATCACCCACCATTCATTTATTCATCCACCCTTCCATCCATACATCCATCATCCAACCACCACACCATTTACTATCCAGTGAGAAAGAGGCAAAGCCCTTCTACACAGGGTCTGCCCATTACCAAGGTGCCAGGGCAGGGCCAGGCACGCTGCCTATGAGCAGAGCTGTGCAGAGGGGGTCAGCCTGGCCTCTGACAGGTCAAGGAACCAATGACCACTCCACGAGCTGTCACCACGGGTGGGAGGAACCAAGTGCCCCAGCCAGAACTTGAGCTGTCAGAGCAGCACTGAGCCTCGTGCCTTTGTCTCCAGGGGCGGGAGATGGGGCCCAGGGGCATGTGTCCCTGGGGGAAGCAGCACCAACGCCTGGCGGGGCTCTGTGGGGCTGGGGCCGCCAGAGGCATGAGCTCCTTGACGGACTCTGCGGCTCCCCCACTCCAACCTGCGGCTCTGGACTCCTGTTCCGGCTGCTCCTGGGGGGGGGGGGGGGGGGGACAGGGACCACCGCGGACACACTGGCTCTGCCCTTCTTCAGAGGGAGGGCCCGCAGCACGAGCCTCAAATGTGTCTGTCAGGGGTTCTATTCTGACAGAGGTCTGGGTTGGAGACAAGCACAGGCGGCTGGCTCACAGCCCGCCCCGCAGGCAGGCGGCCCCACTGATGGACGTATCCGCAGGTCTCCTGCTTGCGTGGAGGAGGCCGGGCGGCCCTCGGCAGCCCCCAAGTCGTCCCTCCCTTTCTCCTCGGTCCACCTGCTGCAGGGTACGCAGGGGTGGCAGGGCCGGGGAGCCCACGCCGAGGGCTGATGTCTGCAGCACAAGGGTGGGCAGGAGGCCTCCACCTGGGCGTCAGCCTCCTGTGCTAGGATGGATGTGTGGCCGGTGGTGGCCACAGTGGAGCTGCATGTGGAGCACCCTGGGACATCAGCAAGCGCTGAAGCCAGGGACAAACTTGAGGGGACTCCACGGCTGACGCCTGCCCCCTGGTGGCCATACACGCCCCTTGCAGGCCACTGCAGCACCTTCCTTATCCACCCCCCCACCTTGCATCTTCTTCCGGCTAGGCCGTGCAGGAGTGGGGTGAGCAGGGGGGCGGTTGGAACACTGGTGTCTGCGAGGCCGGCAGGGTCCTCTGGCCTTGGCTGGCCCTGGCGGGGTGAAGGCCGGCAGCAGCCAGGGCCTGACCCCCGCTCCACGAATGACACTGCGCCGGTCCACACCGCTGGTGTAGTGTAGCTTGGTTTTATTTATGTCCACAAATATTTCAAAAAAATTACAAAATACTCAAAATGGAGAGAACACAGAAGTCACGATTTCTGGGTGTCTACTCTGCTTACACTGTGTTATCTCATGGCAAACTACTCATATATACACTTAGCTTCAAGATCTATATAAACCCAGCAAACCAGAAAGTATTCTGCTCTGCTTCCGCTGCGGTGAGACGCGAAGCTCATCGACGACACTGAACAAGATACGTACGGAACACAGAACGCAATCAAACCTCAA